TGTAGGATCAAACGTCATTGGCATTGGCTATCTATTTGTACTTTCATATTTGCTGTCCTATGTCAACTTCCGGTTTTATAGTCGTGTGCAATTTGAAATTTTGATGACGTATATCTCTTGATCTTGACCTTTTTAGACTTTCTCCTTTACAAGATCAAAGGTCATTGACCTTGGCTATCTGCTGATACTTTCATTTGTGAGGTCTGACGTCTACTTCCGGTATTAGAATCTTCTAAAAAATGAAAATTTCTCAACTTTAGACTGTTTTTGCGATTGATCTAATTATCATGGAAGGATGATTTTTTCGGGGTCTTTTGCAATTTGCTACATTTGCAAAGTCCCACTCTGTGCCACGAGTGGCTCTAGTATAATATTTTAATTATACCCAAGCAATGTAACAAGTTTTATCGCAGACTGGAGAACATCATTCTTTTCCCCCTTTTGTTGGAAGCTATTTCCCCTCTTTTTTTCCTTTGTTTTCTTTCCCTTTCTTATTTTTCAGGTCTTCCAGTTTTCCAAACGTTATTAGAATAATTAAACCAGACCAAACCAAACCTACGACTACCATTCGACTACCAATCAACCGCGATCAGAACAAGTTTGGAAGAATACAGAATATAGAGTAACGCCACACCACCCAGGGTTGAGTTTCACAGCCCTGTCATTCGACCCGACCAGATCTTATGAATTATCAACAACCAAACTAACATAGAATCATTCAATTTGAACCAATCCAACTACTACGACTACCAACAAGTACCTTGTTGCTATATCAGAATCCACTGGAAGCGAACGTTAACTTGTCATCTACCAACCAACTAACTAACTAGTATAATAACTGAATTTAAAAAAAATTAAAGCACAATAAAGTGATGACGTCTTAAAAAAAGTAAACAGATTGACAAAATGATAATATGTCTCTTTGAATCCAACCATGATATCTGGTTCTCATGTGAGAATGGTTTAAGAATTATTATCATTTTGCGCGAGTTTGTATCATTATTAGTCCCTATGTTATGACATGTTATTTTAAAACATACATCAAACATAAAACAGATTATACCTTATTAAATCTAATTCTCGTGATAGTTCTACATTAATTTGATGTTCTATGTTTTCATGAAAGAAAAGTCTCAAAGGGAAATAATGAAATGGACTGCATTTTATTGAGCAATTTTACAAACTGTCATCTTTTCTTTTCTAATTTCAAAATCCCAGACAGAGCATAAACATGTTTTTAATTTGAATGTACCATTTCGATGTATTTCCGATACAAGAAAGAAAGAAAAGAAATAATGTAAGATAATCAGATATATTTATGTCACCTTGAAAGACCGCATATTGAAGATGGGTTCCCTTATTTTCATTTATGAAAATGAAAATGCTAATACTTTAATGTCCATAATTAATTCATAATTAGCTTAATTAGAAGAGAATTATCAATAGAATTCCAATGAGTGACTGATCAAGAAAGGTCAAAAAATCTTTTTTGTTTATCCAGACTGTACATACATTGACTTTTATGATTATTATTTATATGCAATAAAAACATAATGATATGAAACACCAATTAACCAGGTTACTTTATTTGACACTAAAAATAAGGATACCAATCTTTAAGTCTCTGTGACCACTCAGAAAACGTACGGGGCAAGTTGCTCTTTCATGAAACTTGTTTACTTAATGATGTCTCTCAAAACTGCACCACAACTATGAATATTAAGACCACCAGATCTATCAGGAGAAGCCACTTTATGTTCTTCTCACTGCATCTTGTCAGCTTCTGTCAGAGTGGTGTAAGTGTGTTATGGAAGGATTCAATCTAATTAAAATTAGATTAAAATCTTTTTAATTTTCTGACATTGTTAGACTACATTGTACTAATTCTATTAGAAAACGAAAGAGATACGAAATTTTATTGATGGAATTAGGACGATTGGCGATCCAAAGCACACGCTCTTAGCTAGACTCGATTACTCAGGATGGCTAGAGGTTAAATGAATTTTATTTAATGAAATTGGTCGGTGGTCAGATTTTTTTAGGGGCGGGGGTGTGACGGAGCTATAGATAGCTCTGATAGCTATTTGGACAGATCTGGCTGGTCTACTGCAGTTGGCAACTGTCAAAATATCCATCAGAGACTGGAATAGCGGCAGGTGTTTCGTACTAAGGTGTGTGTGTGGGGGGGGGGGGGGGCCCTACCTGTTTGTAGTTACGGATCTGCCAAGCATATCAATTAGTTTGACGTAAAAGATATCCGTTCCGAAGAAAAGGAAGAAGTACAATCCACTAAATTTATTAACGCCAGTCGTCGAAAATATATTATTCTTCCAGTGAGACATTTACTTTATCTTAATCCTCAAAGAAGTAATTGTAATTTGATAAAGGTTTTTAACGTGAACAACCACTAATTGTAATGCTGTCAACAAATCAGGTTTCAGATGACATTGTAACCATTTGATAACATATCTAGAAAATCTTAAAAAATCAGTTTACTGTCAATGTTATTATAGACTCGAATATTATGATTCTTGGTACATATGCTCAACACATGTCCTGTGTTGAGACATATGATTTTATATCTGGTAATTAGACATCTTTCATACTGTAAAATTTCAGATAAAAATTTCAAAATGTATTGTTGAGTAATAAGCAATTAGTTATATAATCGTTGATTGCGCCATGAGTTTTTGTCGATGTCTCGACTATATCGTAAGATTCCTTAGTTTTACTGATGGAAAAGGAGAATCGTTAATAACCGTTTAGTGGGTCCTCAGAGGTTTGGACATACTTGGATTTGTTGTATAAGTATGAAGGGAATTTAGTTAAGTTATTAATTTAATCAGAAACACTTGAAAATATCATAACTGTATATGCAGTGGCGGCGCCAGTGGGGATAAGTTGTCACTAGAAAAATAGTTTTATTTTTGAGAAATTTGAATGCTATGGTTTTTATATGTTTCCCCTCGACTTTGACAAATTCACAGAGTTGCCGCATTTTGAATTCAGCCAAGACAGTTGTTCCCCCCATCGAGTCGGTCTGCCCCTATTTGTATCCCCAGTCTCGGGAGTCTGGCACCGCCTCTATGTGTATGTAATGTGGTTAATCAATTATTAAAACTATATAATCTCATATGATTTCATGTTCAAGAAGTCGGTTGGTGTCGGTTACTTATAGATCTTATCACTAGGGAAAAACTGACATATTATATACTATTCAATTTATAATACATAATTCAAATCAAACATTATGAAGGAGGCATACGCAAAACCATCGTGTCCAAAATCTTTCTCGGATCATTCAAGAGGGGAAGGGATGGTGAAAGAGTAGGCATTTTCAGTTCAATGATCCCGACATGGTAGCAAGTTTAATTATATAAAGCATAAGAATCAATGAATATAAAATCAACATATGCTTATAAAGTAAAAGGTCAAGAAAATTTACCAAATTCTACATCCGTTATTATTTTGGCCTCTGTTCCTTTATTGAAAGTATACTTCAGAATTGTCCAAACAGATCTAGAATCGAAGTATGTGAGTTTTTCTTGAAAATGAACTAGCATACCGATATATGATTTCTGGAAAAATCAATTGTCGTCACTTTCTTTGGTAAGAATTGTATCTTGACAATCTATATAAAAAAAACTTTTTAAACATGAGCATAACAAAGCATGTGAATTTTACCTTATTTTCTAGTGATAAAAGCATGGAACTTACCTGTAAATATAATCAATGTACAGATTTTATCCATTTCTGTACCACTTTGATCTAATCTAACTAGAATTTGTCGTTACATGTTCAACTTTGAGTGAGTTAAAGAACACGCGACAATCAGACACTGGGGTATTTTATGTTACAATAAAAATATAAAGTTACACAGTTAATTAATGAAACCTTCAAGCATTTCATGAAATTATTGATTTTGTTGACCAAACGTCAGTTTAATGACATTACAATATTAAGTATTGAAGGATGAGAGTCCAAACAGTTCGATGTGATCAACTCTGATAAAATAAGGTTGAGAATATGTACTAATATAAAAGTCAATACTTATGAAACTTGTCGAATGGATCCATATAATGAAATTAATTGCGTAATGTTCCTGAGTATATCGATGAATCTATACTCGAGGTAGAAAACAAGGTGTTTATTGATAGGGCTTCTAATTGGTTTAGATCGATCTGTAAAGGTTTAAACAACCAATGTGACGGCAAAAATCAATGAATATGATGGCAGTTCCGTTTGAAATTTGAAATTGATATTTTTATAAAGTAAAAGTGAAAATGTCAGCATGAGGTATTGTCCTTCCGGTATTTACTTACACACGATATTTCCTATTTCTGAATCTGTCATTTCCAAGAATGTATAGAAATCTAAACGCTTGTGATGTTTAAATGGAATACTTCAGAGGCCTTAAATGGACACGTGCGCCATTTTTTTTTTCAACAACCATACTTTAGTCTCAGAAACGGGAAATTTTTAGCTAAGCCAATCAGTAATAGTGTTTACAGCTCATCAATCGACATTTGAGCCTTTAAATCCATGTGTGTCCAGAATTATTCGCAATTAATGTTAAAATGAGGAATCGTCAAGGTTAAGACATTCTTGACCAACCTATTCATAGACACAAATATGTTCACCATGACTCGATATTCATAATTACATGTCTTAGAATAATATAGTGACGTCACGGTCCTTATCATGAAGATGAATTGTACATTTTGTCTGTGAAACAAAACGCATGAAGCCATAGGTCTGGGAGAAGTTTACAGACTTCAGTCGATATACATTGTATTCTGGTGATTATTGTCGGTGGACAGTGATGGTGCCACCCTCCCGAGACTGGGAGTACAAACGGGAGACCGACTGGACTCAATTGGGGTACAACACTGTCGAAGTTGATTTCAAAATGCTGCAACTCAGTGGATGCGTCATTGTCATTCATAGTGCTTCTGAGAGTTCTCCCGAGAAAATTTCTAGAAAAATTGAATTCGAACACTCAATTTGGTGCACAAACGTATAAAAAGCAAGTTTTCTCAATAACATGAAATGAAAGATACTTATGCATTGGTGTCAGGTTTTCACGCTTACTGTTAACCATTTGTTTACCTATAATATCATTGCATTGTTGGCAGATAATGAAATAATGGCAAATGACATCGAAATTTTTTTACGACATTCTGCAAAGTGTCACTTCGGGAAGCAACGTTTTTGCCCAAGCCTTGCTAACGATGGATTTCCTGTGTGTATATATAACTCATTGTTAGTTATTTTCTCTGAAGGAGCGTCTAAGACCACGTGTTCGTCGGTAAAACTTAGACGTTACAGCAAACCATGCTTACCGTTTTCGAAAACCTGATGGTACTTCTCTTTGTAGGATTCCACTAGGCCTACTAATTCTACTATCGATTTTGCCATACTTTGAACGAGATTTTGATAAACGGAGTTGTCTTGCGTATACGTTTTTTTATTATGACGTTATATAATTGAAATACATAATACAATGGTATGACGTCATAGGCAATTATTCATTCTTGCCAAACAGAAGTTTTTACAAGTTTTTCTACGATTTTTGAGGATTTATCTGAATTTTAACGTTTTAACTATTTTTGTTAATAGGGTACGAGGTGGGTCGGATGGTTTTTGGATTACTCTATACTGTGATATATCAACGAAAGGAGAATTGTCTTAGAGTGGGGTAAATTTCAGAATGTTGAAATATTTTATATTTAATATATATTTGTTATATATATAATTATAAAGATAAAGAGTAAAATAATAATGTGATCTTATATAAATATGCAATCATACCCCGATAGACACCAACACTGCCCCACTCCCGCCTATCCTAAACCAAAACAATATAAAATACACATACCTGAAGAAGTATTATAAAGGTATCCTAATTGTATAACGGCTGCTACTCTGCGTATTCTCCCAGATCCAAGTCTAATTGGGCTTAAAGATGAGGGGATAGAATCAAAAAAATATTGACTGTTGCCAAGGAGATGCCGAAAAGTGCTCACCCCGATGTAAACCATAAGGTCACGACATCAGAGCCAACCAGTCAAATTGAAGGATAAGACTATATAGGAAGTAAAGAGCGGTAATTAATGACTGCTATAATGAAAAGTGCTCAATTAAAAGTATATTTGTGAGAAGTAATTGGTTTTTACAATCTGACGTGATGTAAACTACATGGAAGAAATAAACTTTAACACAGCTACCATGTGATCAGAGAGTCACAAAGGTATTGCCAAATATTAGCTCTGCTACATACTCTCCTCCCGGGAAAATTTCCTCCCGACATTCTTGCAAGAGAATATATATTATCATATCACAATTCCTTACCCTCACACCGAATGACGACTTTAAAACTAAAATGAAACTAAAACCCAAAATCTGATTTCAACATACAAGAAATCTTCCTATGCTGTTCCAGGAAGTCTCCAGATGTCAACATGGTTAAAACTGCAAGTGGACACTGATTGACGGGCGAAGTAGCCAACTATGTCATCACATGGTCCGCATACCTTGACAGAAGACGCCTGTTTCTTGAGGGCCTCGAGTGAGCTGGTTCTTCATCATCAGATGAATTTGGCGGACGTAGCCGAAACATCCCTATCTTCTTCACCTGAAGAAGCGTTCGTGGGGCTAGCTGGAGAATCGTGTGCTTTGGTGTTGCTAATGCTGACGCAGGTTTGTTCTCCGAGGAAATACGGTATGGATCCAAAGATGCAAAGAATTTACGAGATGCTGCAAAGTGTCTCTTCGGGAAGCAGCGTTTACACCCAAGCCTTGCCAAAGCTTATCGGTTAGAGTTGACCATGCCATTTAGCTCGTTAGCAATGAACGTGTTGATGTCCCATCAAACGAGGAAATAATTATATAAACATTAAAACATATAAAGAATTAAGCTCAAACGACCACGATTTAAGACCACGTGTTAGTCTGTGTTTTGTGACCTAACTCCATTGGACTACGATTTGTGACCACAATCTATTTGACTTTATTATGGGATTTTGTTTCATTTGACTGTGTTTTGTGACATTATACTATTTAGCTGTGTTTTGTGATCTTACTCTATTGGGCTACGGTTTGTGACCACAATCTATTTGACTGTGTTTGTGACCGTATTCTATTTGACTGTGATTTGTGACTACATTCTATTTGACTGTGGTTTGTGACCACATTCTATTTGACTGATTTGTGACTACATTCTATTGACTGTGTTTGCAACCTTATTCTATTTGACTGTGTTTGTGACCTTATTCTATTTGACTGTGCTTGTGACCACATGCTATTTGACTGTGATTTGTGACCACATTCTATTTGACTGTGTTTGTGACCACATTCTATTTGACTGTGTTTGTGACCTTATTCCATTTGATTGTGATTTGTGACTTCATTCTATTTGACTGTGATTTGTGACCACATTCTATTTGACTGTGTTTGTGACTTTATTCTATTTGTCTGTGCTTTGCGATCATATTCTATTTGACTGTGTTTGTGACCTTATTCTATTTAACTGTGCTTTGCGACCATATTCTATTTGACTGTGTCTGTGACCTTATTCTATTTGACTGTGATTTGTGACCACATTCTATTTGACTGTGTTTGTGACCTTATTCTATTTGACTGTGATTTGTGACCACATTCTATTTGACTGTGATTTGTGACCACATTCTATTTAACTTTGATTTGTGACTACATTCTATTTGACTGTGATTGTGACCTTATTCTATTTGACTGCGCTTTGCGACCATATTCTATTTCACTGTGTCTGTGACCTTATTCTATTTGACTGTGATTTGTGACCACATTCTATTTGACTGTGATTTGCGACCATATTATATTTCACTGTGTTTGTGACCTTATTCTATTTGATTGTGCTTTGCGACCCTATTCTATTTGACTGTGTTTTATTCTATTCTGTTTTATTCAACGATTTATGACAACAATATATTTGAGTGTGTTTATTGACCTCATCCAATTGGACTATATTTTGCAATTCTCTAGATTTGACTGTGTTAAGTAACCTCATACCGTGTACAACATATTTAATATAATACGATTTAATATTTTATATTCTTATATTGATGAATATTTGAAGGGAAATAATACTGTGATGTACCGTGTTACCTCACATGATAAAAACAAAATTAAAATCTACCCCTTTCACGAGAAGAAATCAATAACTCAAAGTTTTGCCGATGACACATCTATTAATGTTTCTAGTGTAATGAAAATGGAATGGTGCTTAAAACAACACAAACTAAATCCATGCTTATTTCAAATTACTTAAAACGTGACATTTCTATATCTTTTAGACTGAAAAATTAACTTATTGAACATGTATGTGTCACATTTCTTATCGGAGTATCGGTAGATAACAACTTCAACACATGACAAATATGTTTAAAGTTCAATAATCTATTTATTGCTGAACCGAATTATATCACACCATTCATTAATTTAAGCTCGATCTGTCATGATTATGGTAGTAATGCTTTCCATAAAAATGAAGAGAAAATGACCTCAGTCTTATTAGAACTATTGTTCAAAGATTACTTTCCTCAACAAAAATTTCTGCCTTCGATCACAAAACAATTAAAATTTATACCTTACTGTAAACTAGATTCAATGAAACGAACCTTCCAATACATGTAGCAAATCTACTATAAAATTCACTACCTTAACAATAATTTTTGCATTTTCTTTATTTGCATCAAATGGGGCTAAAGGCTATACGACAATGTTTCCATTTCTTGGAGGGTGGGTTTGTAAACTTAAAGTTAAAACCACGTAAAAAAGGCAATATTTAATCATTGAAAATATTTATGCCGATTTCTTTCCAATTGTTCTAAAGTTTCAACCATAGCTCCACTTCTACTATAAGACTTGCTAAAACGGGTAAAGAACCCATGTCCATATCCCTCAATATGGCGGGCGATGACATCAACACCAGATCTTCTCAGTCGTTCAGCATACATTCTTCCTTCATCACTTAACATATCAAACTGGCATGTCACTATAAATGCTGGGGGTACTTTGGAAAGATCCTTTGCCATTAGTGGAAAAATGTAAGGATTTATAAGTAATGGTTCTAATCGCTTGGCAAATGTTTTATTGTCGCTTTCCGGTATCGTTGGTATAGTTCGCCTTGCATTCGGTGGTAACAGATTTTGATCTATAAACTTAACAAATTCAGACTTCTTTAAACCTGGTGTTACGTGATTATTTGTTGATAGAATTTCTATATTTTCCTCGGTATCTTCCATTCCCAAATAATATAAAATATACCCGATGAAGTCTATGCGTGGAAACGATTCAAATACATCGTTAGATACATAAGAAGGAAGTCTTAAATCCAAAGCTTGTAAAGCCGGATATATTAAAATTTGACACTTTAACTTAGGAAGTCTGTTTGGCTGTTCATTAGCAAGGCGCAATGCTACTGCTGCAGCCAAATTTCCACCAGAGCTGTCACCTTAAAAAGAAAATAAAATTTTATCCTGTTTCTTCATTTCATGGTTCTTATCCTAATTTTCAATGTCTTAAGTCTCTTCATTGAATCTATAAAGAAAAATAGAAGAAATATTTTTAACCAAAATACCCCATTCTTACCAGCGACTCCAACATTGCTTGAATCAATCCCATATTTATCTCCATTTTGTAAAACATGAACAGTTGCAGTAACACAATCATCGAACGCTGCCGGAAATGGGTGTTCTGGACTTAATCTATAGCTGAAAGGATAAATTGTCATGACATTGTTTACTGTTTACATTAAGCTCAATAGTTGTCCGGAAATAGATGTTCGGTACTATAATTAATATATTACTTACATCTAAGAAAAAGTCACTAATTCACTATTCAGGGTATAAGACTACCAAGATCTCAGGGCCTCGATGAATTGATGGTGGGTACTTAATCTATCGGGTACTTTACACAATATATAAACCATCCTAAGATTTCTATATAAAAGGAATTTATATTTTATGTTATAAAATCAAATCAGTAAAAGTAGGTGGATTTAACCTCTTAAAGATCAAGATTTCATTGCCGGTCCAAATCAACTACATGTAGTTCATGGATGCGAAGCAGAAGGTGGTTCTCAGTTTGTGTGTGAGTTCTAGAGTCCTTAAAATTTTACAACTGCTGCTTTCTTTCAATGCTATCTTGGATGTTCAATTGCCAAGTTAAATGAACTTACTCTATAGATATTACTACGACATTCATCCATTTAGCAATATCAGCTATGCCTCCTGCCATTATAGCTGAAAGCAAGAATAAGTTAATGTAATAGCATTGCAGGAAAAAAAACAGAAGCAAGTAACGCACAACAATAGTAAATATTTTAAAATATTTTTAACCACGCATCCACGTCAATTTTAAATTGAATTTCATGTCAAAATATCCATAACCCACGCAACCAAGTAGATATCGGCCTCTGATGTTGATCACTTTAAATGCCATATCGTGGTCAAATTAATCTTATTCGTACCTGAAGAACAAAGAGCCCATCCTCCACCATGAAAATATACTATAGCTGGTGATTTACTTGGTACAGAGTGTGGTCGAAATATCATAACAGGGATTTTACCAATGTATTCTTCTGTAATCTACAATACAATTGTTACCATTCTTAGTCGAATATCCCAAGAGATGAAAACCACGCGACTGGTAGAATCAGAGGAGAGCTGTATTTTCCACTACTGCTACTTTCGTCGGCGATTGAAAAATCGGGTTGGCCAACAGACTCCCGTACGAAGCCTCAGATTAAAGACATAACATGCACTTTATGAAAAATAAGAAGTATACATAAATTATACCAATCAAAATGATCTACACATACGGTGAAATTGTCTTCTTGTGGAGTTCCAGACATTAAGCTCTGTTGAAATGCCCTCAGAATTTCAACTTTAGTTCCATAGCCCAACACATGCTTAACCTTTACCTATAATAAATAATTTCTGATGAACCATACTCTAGAAACTTTTGGACTTTTACGTTCATATACCCAATTCGTCAAAAAAGCTATGTATAATTGTTTGCACAGTCAATTATAGATTGTCTGATTACACCTCTTCCGTTTCAAAATTTTCAGCCAATCTCTATTGTAACCGTTTGGCCTTTGCTACATTTTGGGAACCTGAAACAAGAATACTTACTTTTGCAGAATAGTCATAATTTAATATAATTTATATTGATATAACGCTGGATATAACCAACTAAATATATTTCCGGGTATCACACCATAAAAATGTCAATCATTTCAGAAAAATGGTCATTTTGTACCTTATAACTGCCACAAGCAACAGACTATTATGTTCTTGTAATCACGTCATAACAATTTTTTGTTTGTGTCTACATATCAAAACTATATTATTGTCCTGTTATTTGACGTTTCGGCTTACTGCCTTCTTCAGAAACACCCAAAACTATTGCTAAACCTTAAATAGTTAATAAAATAACGGAATAAGATCGAGATCTATT